TCCCTGTTGCATGTCCACAAGTGCTAGAGTGTGTATTTCAGCCTGTGTGTGTGTGTAAGAATAAAAAAGAGCGAAAAAAAGAATTTCCCCAATAGGGGATTAATAAAGTATATATCTTCTTCTTCTTCTTCTTCTTCTATCTACCATGAGCAAGACCTTGGCGACGTGGCGTGTACAGTTACAAATGAAAGTCCTGTATTCAAAATCTTACTTGAGTAAAAGTACAAAAATATTAGCATAAAAATATATTTAAAGATCCAGTGTGTAACATTCAGGAGGATATATTGGCACAAATGGAATTAAAATATTCATTAGTATGTTTTCATTAAGTGTATTCACTGAAAATTAGGAATCGTTGTGTTTTTGTTACCTTAGATTAGAATGAGCTGTTATTTACAAATGCTACCAGTCGCTTTCCATGGAGTCCGCCATGTTGAACCACCATGTTACTACAGTAGTCCAGAACGGACAAACCAAACACTGGATCTCAATAGGGCCTTTGCATTTTTTGTGAGTTTTACAGCCACTGTAGTTTCTCCTGCACACTTCACAGCCTGTTCTTATTCCCAGGTTGTCAAATATATACATGAATGTTGTTCAGTTAGTTGCAATCTGCACCTTTATTGCTAGATGTCACTAAATCCTACTCACTGGTCCTTTAAAGGACTAAAAGTAAAAGTGCAAAATGGCCCATTTTAGAATAATGTATATGAATGAATTATAATTGCTGCTTTGTCCAGAAATGTAATGTTGCCACTGGCAAAGCTGGAACACATGTTAATGACTTTATACTGCTGGGTAGCGTCATTTACAACAATTCATCATAATTTATTACTTGATTTATATTTTGTGTTAATAATGTGAATCTGTAAAGTAACTAAAGTAATCAAATCTAGTGTATATAAAGTGAATAAAGTAGCATAAAATGGAAATTCTCCATGTAAATAACATGGAACAAGTACATCAAAATTGTACATATAATACTTGACTAAACGTACTTAGAATTAGAAAATGGTTATTCTAATGTATTTACTCAAATTTTCATTTTCACTGCAAATGTACATCATCTCCAAATACTGGTTATCGTTTTTCTTGATTATTAATAATTGGTATTGGTAATTGGTAATAATTGGCCTTGAAAAACACATATTGCTTAACCTCTAATAATCTATTTTAATCTGACCATACAGCTTTAGTGTGGTACATTCCAAAAAACATTTATCACACTTGATACCATGTAGCTTATCTTTTTATAGGAATATGAAAATGTAAATAACAGTTGTAAGGACATCAAGCCAATGAAATGTTGAGTTTTACAAATCACAATTACATAATCTAACATTGGCCATCAGCGCTAGGTAAAATTTTTTTAAATCAAATTGAATCAGGACTTTAATATAAAAAGTCACATCTTATTGCTCCAAATCTAATTTGAAGAAGGATGAAAACCTAAATATAGAATTTCATAATGCTGCCAGTTTTAAGAGTATGCTGATACCTTGTGAAACCTGAAGAAACCAAAGGGTTAATCGTTAAACTTTACAATATAGTTTATTAATTTAAAAAATTGAAAAACATAACATGGGGCTGCATTTTCATATGCTTATTGGGATTGCTGGGATAGGACTTTGACATACATCAAATAAAATACTCGATTCATGTAGTAATGGTATTTAAATAACTTAATTGAAAATAAATTACTAATTTCAAATTATTATTTAATTGTTGAAGAGAACTTTCTCTTTCTATCCATGCTGACAAACTCCATAAAATTGAATATGTTGAAAAATGATGTTTGTTAAGACACACCTGATTATATTATATTGATATAATTTATCAAAAAATCAAAAGCTTACCAGTGCTTGAGCAGCATTTCTGGCTTTTCTGAATTCGGGACGTGAGACAGGGGTCCCTAGGATATACCTGACCCTTTTCGTTTTGCCTGAATAAATTATGTTTTTGTAGAAATCTGACAGAGTTGTCTCTGATTCGATTTGTCTGAACAGAACATCCTCTTCAAGTGTTTAGAAATTTCTTTCATTTTTAGTCCATATATTATTGGATTAAAGAGAGGATTATACAAAACCACTTGTAAAGTCATTATTAAACGTACTATTTTTGGAAAATCAAACTCTAGTCGAGCTACAATAACATCATATGCACACAAACATGAGAAGTTCATCAAAACGATCAAGTGTGGTAAACAGGTCTGTGCAGCTTTTCTCCTGACTTCTCTACAACTTCTATAGGTTATTATAAGTATCCTGGTGTATGTGAAGAGTATGAAAAGCACAGGGAAAAATGCAACATTTAACAAAATAACCACACCTTAAACAGATATCAGCCTGGAGCTCACACAATAAAGTTTGAAAACTGAGTTGTTGCAAAAAATTCCTTTTAAAGTAAAGTTACAGAGATTTCTATTAGCACCCAGTGCAACTGAAGCCACAACATGAACCGCAGGCAGAAGCCAAGCCAGACCTAGGCAAATATTGACAGTTGTTTTGTTCATTATAGTTGGATATTGCAGTGGTTTACATATAGACACATATCTGTCATAGGCCATGGCTGCCAGCAGTAAGAAATCTGAACCACCTGAAGAGTAAAATATAAAATACTGAAAGAGACAGGCTGAATATGATATCATCTGTTTTTCAGATAAAAGGTCAATCAAAAGCTTTGGGTAGATAGCAGTGCTGAAAAGAACAGAGTTGACTGACAGAGCTGCAATGAAAATGTACATAGGATACACAGTGTAGGGCTCAGATGGAGTGTTTTTTGGTGAATCCGCATAAGATACAGCAATAGTAGCAATTAAGCCTGCAGATTCCGGCGCCATTAGGAAACTATCCAAGCGGCGTCGGGGAAAAATACAAATATCTGTATTGTCCACTTCCAACATACCATCAAGAAGTTAGCGGGTATGTTACTTCAGGACGCATTCATCATGCCATGCGAAGAATCGGTCACACCAACGTACAACCTACATTACAATACACAGTAACCACCGCCTCACAATAAACACAGTGAAAAAGTCTTGCAATTGATTTAGAAACACGTATTTGAGTGTCTGTCGGCATTTAATACCTGACGAGAAACGCATTAAGTCCATTCCATATCTGAGAAAGTGAACCATTTGAGTCATAGGGAAGATTTTATGAGAATTCTCCTCCACCTCCATGGATCCCATTAACTCATCCCACAAATACACGCTATGTGAACAACTTAATAAACCTCTGAGGCTGAATCACGGTTTTAGAACGTTTTGTTTACAATGAGCGTAGGCACCTGAAAATGGGCACCAATACCATCGCCAACGTACCCCCCAAGCACACGTGAATATTCGCTGCGCAATGAGGTCACCTCTCTAACTGCTTATCTAAATTCACGCAACCCTTCTGGGTCGAGCTCATGGCCATACCTCACCGACTGAGGTCACGAGTATCGACGCACACACGCGCGCTATGACAATAAACCAGCTGCCGTGAAGCAAACGTTGTTTCTCAAAAATAAATAACTTTCCGAATTGCATGCCACTTGCAAATCGTCAAAGCTTCTTTCCTCTCATTCATCCGAACTGTGTACAGGCCAATGTCTTTGGTAAGAGCCACTCCTACACACCAACATACCGTGGCTGTGATCCTCTATGCTACCCAGCACCTAAATCACCGGTTCTTGTTTGTTTACGTGGCTGGTAACCGATACCTGGCCAAAGCAATCACCACCAACTCCAACCCTGAATGCTGACCTAGTTTACCCCCACGCAAACAGAACGTCCGGGGCTACGGAAAGTATCTCAGACCCTTATCACAATCGCTCTTCACTCTTCTCGTTTCATTGCAGCCATTTGGCTAGAAATCCCAAAAAAGTTCATTGTATTCTTCCCATTCTAATGTAACCAGCAGCCCGGCGCGCACGACACCCATCTTCGACCGCAATTTCTTTTGCAAAATTTATTAAAAAAGAAACGACTCGAAATATCCACCATGGTCATCCCCCCAAGCTACTTCAGACCCTTGTGCTCGTGCGACACTCCATGCAACGATTCGCTCACAGCT